ATTAGATTACAGCCACACGGCACGTCAAGACATTTGTGCATGTTCAACACCATCCATTGCCTCATTACACCTCGTAGTAAATAAGTAACCAGAAGTTAATCAGTTGTTGTCGGTTGCATCTTCGGGATGATCATTGTTGTTGTGGGAGAACCAGATAAGTCTAACAGTTTTCTATCCCAGACATAGGTAATTAAACACTGATGTTACAATACTGCTGAGGGTCCACTCTGGGAGTATATAATAAACCTATGCAACATATTTACTCCTTTTGACCTAACAAATTCACAAAGACCTGAAAGTTGTAGCATTAAATATTATGATAGATATCGTGAGGAGACATTCACATATGGGACTAATAGAACAAGAACCGGCAATGTGATGTTATAGTGGCCAGAATACGCCTGGGATATAGACGTATCTGGCAGCTTTCTCAAAACCCAATGTCGAGTACACAATGGGTCAACTTTGTGAAAGAGAAAACATGCACTCTCTTGAACATTATATTGTAGAGTGTCCATACTGACTGACTTTCGCCCTCCTGGGCTAAGGTATGCTGAACTCTGTAGTTACTATATGAGTACTGGAACACTTGATGATATATTGGACTTGTATCCAAGATTGACCATGTAATATATCAATTATACAATGTATATATATGATGTAACTATATAACCTGAGCTTGTAAAAGCACCTTCAGTGATTAAGTGCTTAATTGCACACTAGTTTCTTTATCAGCTATCTCACCCTGTCAGAGTAAATGAGACAAATGTATGTGAATGCATGTGTGTGTATATATGTATGTATATATGTGTGTGTGTGTATATGTATGGGTATAAAGTATATATGGAAGCTGATCAGAATTACATTTCACCTTTGTGAATGTACATTAATGACACTATGTAAAAGACACATCTAACACTTTATGTAGGGCATACGTAAATCTGTGTATCTATATATTTACATATGTAGGTTAGCTTAGCATTTTAAAAGCACCGAATCACCTTCTGTGGTTGAGTGTTCAATAAACCCTTGAACTATATGTTTAAGACTTCTCTAACCCTGTCCATGGAGGACAGAAGGAAATGTATATATGTTGGTTAGCATTGTAAATGTGTGGCCACGTCTGTGGTAGAAAAAAAAACTTCTTTTTATGGCGTTATATATATATAAATATAATGGGGGCCTGTCCGGGAGACTCCCTTCAATCAATCTGTAGTAAAAATAATTAAAATCAACATAAGTGTAAGAAAGGTAATATCATTTGTCCCATAATTTTTTAATCTTTAATTGCATTTGATAACATAAAATAAAACAATAATAATAAAATTTTCAACCTGACACTGCACTACTTTTTTTTTTATTTTTTTATTTTTTAGTAAATCAACCTAAAACCTCTAAAGCATCGCTCATTCCAATGTCTTATCACTCTTCCTGATCTCTTTCTCTCTACGTTTATCTCTTCAATTATTCTCTCTCTTTCTCTTTCTTCAGCTTCTCTTTCTCTCCACCTGCTCTCTTCCTCCATGTCCTTGTACCGCTCAACTTGGCTACTGTACCTTTCATTTTTCTATGTCTCTCTTTATCTCTCGACGTGGTCTCTCTCTTTCCTCTTCATGACTTTACTTATTTATCAGTTTTTTCTCTTCCCTCTCTCCACCTGCACCCTCTTTCTCTTTTTCTCGTTTTAACTAAGACTGGAGCTCAATTATTTTAGAAGTTCTGATTTTAATTCACACAGGCTAAGAGATGTTCTCCAACATTAGCTTATATGAAGCCCGACAAACAGAAAACTGAT